AAAAAAAAAAAAAAAAAAAAAAAAAAAAAAGGAAAAAAAGAGAACTCTGAGATTCGTTTTGTCTTAGAAGCTCAAGGTACCTTGCGGAGAATCCTTGAGTATGTTTGGACGGAATCATGTTGACTCAGTATGTGCTGTGCTATGTTGTGCTGGAGGCCTATTGGGTGAAACTCAGCTTTCTGTTCTTGTTGTTGTAGTTTTTTTTTTAACTAGGCTTTTTGTTTTGGGCACACATATGAGAGTCGTACGAAATCCAGGTCACCCAAGAGCCTAGCTCAGTGGGTACACCCATGAACTGTTGAAATACAGACCTGTGTTTGAATCTAGATGATGGAACTTGATGAGTAAAACCGACTACTAATGAATTGCTTGCGGCTGGTCAGCTCAATGATAATGTCTCAAGACCCTCACCCCTTTTTTTAAAGAAAAAAAAAAAAAGAAATCCAGGTCTGACAGCACTCCATCTGCCCCCAGAAATCCTGCAGAACGTCCAAAAAAAAAATAATAATAAAAACATGCAGAACCAGCAGGCACACCAGGAGAATGCAGGCCAGCAGGAGCTGCAATACCAGCTTCAGCTGCAGCACCTTGACCAGCAATCACAAATGATGTAAGCTGCAGCCACACTGCCCCTCTCCAATACAGATGGTTGGGGGAAGGGGAGGGGGGGGGAAGGGGGGGAATGCCCTGCAAACCAGTGGTCAGGCCACGGAGAGCCCTCTCCACGAAAATAACCCTGTCACGCCCTCTGCGGAACGAGAAGTGGCTGATGGGGATGAGGGAGGTGATGCAATGCAAGCAGGGATGACTCAGACTCAAAATGTAGACTGCCAGGGTGTTAGCCACACAGGAGCGCAGGGAACACAGGGATCTCAGGGAGCCCAGGGAGCGCAGGGAATAAAGATATATCCCAATTCAATGCACCAGTGCATGTTCACAGTGATCAACCTGCCCCAGTAAGGGCCAACGGTAGTTAGGGTCAGACTAAGTCCAGTTGAGGTAGCTCAGTGGTTATTAGAGCACTGGTTGGAAATGCGCATTGTGGTATGAGCTTGCGGGTTCAAAACTCAATTGCAGCCTTGCGCGTGGACACCGGCAGGGCGTTAAAATGATGCACGGCTGGACACACATTCCCTTGGGCTGACACACGGTAAGCTTATACAGACACTGCCTGCGCACCACCTGAGGGTTGTCCATGGTGTTGTATGTCGGGTCTTGATACTGCATGGGTTGCTTGTGGCTGTTGCCCGTGGTTGTTCTGTTGATCTCCACAGTCTGGCATATCAGACGTTCGTGCCATTTCCACTAGTCCTTCACATGGTAGAGTCATATGAGTACATGTTACAAGGTCACGGGTTCGAGCTTTGGTTCGGACCTTGGGGGGGTCCTTGTCCAGCTTACCCCGTCCTCTCTTCGATATACACACATGATGCCGCCTATACATCTCGATACATTGATTCACAGAGTACACACAGCCTTCGGGCATATACATAGCCTGCGAATTATACATGGCCTACGGGCTACATGTGACGTGCCAGCCTCCGGACCTGCGCCATCTTCCAACMCCCCCCCCTTCTCCCCTCCCCCCCCTCTTTCTCGAATTTTGGTGTTCTTGCAAACAGGCCGACGGTGCCTATTTTTGTATTTCCATGAATTAATGTGCATTGTTCGTAGTCAGGGAGGCCTGTCCTTCTCAAGACCTTCGTCAATTTTTTTTTAATCGTCTTTTGGAATTTCATCTTTTCGCAATTTGGGAAATACATGGGAATTACGCGTGCCTTAGCAAGCGCGCTAGGAATTTGGGCCGACAGTTAGGAATTCCGGAATGGGCGGAACCTGGACTGTCCTTTCTTGTGTATGAATGTTTTCGACTTCGTCTTTGAAAACTCCGGGCATTTTCGTAGGAATCTGAATAGGTATAGGACTTTTTCCCGCGTTTGCTCTACGCGCGGATATGGTACTTTTCAACTTTGAATTACCTGTAACTGTTTCGATGACCTTTTTGCCTTCGCATCGCCGCCATGCATGTGAACCTCCCCTCCCCGCTTCCCTCGCTACCTTCGACACTCTCTTCTTCACGCTCACGCTCCTTCTTTCTCCGTAACCGTTTTCCATCTCTCCTTTGCCTCGCGCGCCTTTTCTCTTTCTTGATCGTCTTAATCTTGGTTCTGTTTCGCGCTATCCTTCGCGCTCTTCTTCTTCCCGCTCTAATCCTCGCGCCGAAATACTCTGTCGACTCCCTCTTCCTTCCCTCTAGCCAAGGAGACACACCGTGTAAGAAGGAAATTCCTGATACACGACGATTCTGATTGGCTACAACTGGGCTCCGAAGGATCGACATGACTTTCGATGGGTGATTATCCCCGAACTTCCCCCTGCCCCTCCCTGCCTCAGTCCTAACCCTTCCTAGCATCTATCTCCTTTTCCGCAGCTATAAATTCCGCAAGCACTCCCGAAAATCTCTCTCTCGACTCATCGGCCAGCTTCCGGGAAGTGGTGGCTAGACGGTATGTGGGAAGGTGCGAGTCGAAAAGTCCCGACGAGCTGACTGTAGCCTTGGTGGCGGAGCACTAGATCGCCCGATGAACCATGGG